AGAGCCACGCAACCACAAGGGCTGCGCGAAGCCCCTGAAGCCCTGAAACCCGACATGTCTCGCGTGACTGAGGGAATTTGAAAGTTGGCAAACACACAAATCTCCGTAAACCTTCGTCCCAGATCAGTAAAAGACTAGCCTGGCCAAGCAAAGAGTGGATGCATCCCTACGACAACAAAAACAAGCGTAGGTCAATGGCCGAAGGGCCGCGCACCGAAAAGGCTGCGCGAAGCCCTCAAAGCCCTAGAACTGGACATGTCATGGTGACTCGGGAAAAGCTGCCCGTCAAAACAAAGGGGGCGCAACCCTGCAACAGCAGAAACCCCAGCAAAAGCCGAAAGCTTGCAAGAGAAGGGGGGCCAGCGAAACCCCAGAAGCCCTGAAACTGGACATGTCTCACGTCACTTTGGATGAACTTGCCAATCAAATCTTTTTTTTTTATAAAAAAAAAAGGAGTTGGCACAAACCCGCATCTGCAAGAGAGGGGGGCCAACAAACAAACAACAATTAGAGCCGAAGGGCCACGCACCCAAAAGGCTGCGCGAAGCCCCCGAAGCCCTGAAACTGGACATGCCTCACGCCACTCGGGGAAAAGCCTGCCGTGTGAAAGGAAAACAAATCAAATAAGAGTTGGCACAACCCCGCAACAAGAAGCCTTTGCCAAAGCTGAAGCTTGCAAAGAAACAGGGGGGCCAACAAGACATAAATGTAGGCCGAGGGCCGAAGGGCCACAAAACATGAGTGTAAGGCCCCCGAAGCCCTGAAACCCGCGTGTCTTGTGTTGTCAGGAAATTTAGTGGCAAACACACTGACCTATTACGCACAGCCGCAGAATTCTTTCACTGTCTATTTGCAGGAGTCGATTGCTCGTTTAATGTGCGGTGGAACGCAGGCTTGGCATTTGGCACAAATCTGCAAGCCTGGCTCTATTCCGATGCCCCACTCCAAGGGAATTCCCGCAAACGGAGTGCCACGGCACCAAGGAACAGGTTGGGATTGGGAGCGCTCACGTGCGATATGAGAAACCCCACGGGCAAAACGAAACCACTCTAAGTCATGCGGCAACCCTTCGTGACTTGAGCCACCGTCGGAAGAGGACGAAGTCTCGTCACTGCTTGCTTCGCTGTCACTTCCCTGGCAATTTACTGGTTTGTCTGCTGGAGGAGTCAAAGCAGAATGTCGATTTAAAATCTGCTGCCAGCTGAGCCCTTTTGTGCGGAAAGACTGCCAATCGAGCGGCCCGGATTCTGTCTCGAGCAACTCCTGAACTGCTGCGCACAACAAAGCTTTAGTGTGCCCAGCGGAGAGCACTCTGTCATGAGCATAGTGCTGGCTCATCTGCACTGGCATTGGCTGGGCATGCTTGGTCGTAACTGACTCCGTCCAGTTTCCCAAGTGTTGGGCAACTTCCACTGGCGTTCGCAAGACCTCTGCTACACTTGGCAAAAAACGTCGCAAAGAGTAAGTGCTGATAAGGCCCACTTCTGCATCAGGCAAACCTTCGCTACGTAACACTGAGTGCAACAGCTTCACAAAGCGCGCCATTGGCATCGGGGCTGCTCGCCAATGCGCACGCTCGTCCAGGCAACCGGAGGGCCCACAGGCAACATCTGGGATACAAAAGGACAAGTCAGGCACCTGGCTGCGCAAGTCAATGATGACCCTCGACGCTAAGCCCAAAACATGCTTCCACTTGCCAACATGCATCGGAGCAGCCCATTCGAACGACGGCCGCGTGCCATGTTTGCGCGACTTGCCCTTCAAGCAAACCGCGCGAGCAAAGTCGTGGGACAGCGTCCAATCAGCTGATCGCTGCGCGTGGGCGAACCTCAGGCAAGCCACTAATGGGATAAGGGCTAAAGATGCGAACGTAGCAACGTTCGTGGAACCACCAAGGGCCAGCTTGCAGAGCGCCTGAAAAGCACGAAAGCTCAAAGGCACACGAGGCTGGATAGAGTGTCCCTCGGCCACTCGGTTCCACGTTGCAACCATGGGGTCGCCCAGCGGGAATGGTATGCCGACATGCCGACGCCACCATAACAGCTTCTGGAAAAGTCCTTGCGCTGCAGTTGGCCCTCCGTCAGACGCTTGCTTAAGGAAGGAAAAAAGCAGGGCAACCGGAGGCAACAGAACTTCTGCAGGCTCTTTGCCAAACTGCAACACATAATTGGCCCACCGCCTCAGGGCGCTGAGTTGCGCCTGCAGAGTGCGCCGCTCAAAGATCTGCAGCCGACTCGCCAGGCCTTCGCGAGCAATGGCCTGGTGCTCCTCAAGCAACGGTGACCACAACTCGCCATGCGTGCCAAGGGCGGCATAGATCTCCCAGCAAGCATGGACCATCTCAGAGTGCTGGTGAACTGGCCTCAGGGCAGTCAGAGCATTCTGCGACCACTGAAAGGCGCCCGGCGCAATGCTACCCACAAGCCTGCACCGTTTGACAGCAGGCACAGGGAGGCCTTCAACAGGGCGAGCGCACTGCGGGGCTCCACTGGCACGCCTGGCAAGGAATGCCAAAGCGCCACGGGCAAGCTCGATGTACCATCCAGCTTCCTCATCGTCAATAAAGCCAGACATGGCTGTCACCAGCTCATCCGGTCGCAGGCCAGCAATGTCTGCATCGCACATCAACCCAGAACGGCGCATGCGCTCGATCACTGCACAATGAACGCCAGATTGGAAGAACTGCGAAAAGTCAGGCTCTGCAGGCACTGTCAAGGGTATTGCCTCTGCAGGCACTGTCAAGGAGGGCACAAGCGCAGGGCCATGGCCGTGTCCATGAAAATGCCGTTTCATACCCAAGAAAATGTGCGCCCTGCAGCTAGCCTGACTTGAACCATCAATCAATCAATCAAGGCGCGTGCTCTCAATCCTCTTTCTGCCAAACCCATCCAGGCCAAGAAAGTTTGAATCAAAGGCTGGATCCCTAAATTGGTAGTCCAAGCAAAACATTTACCGAAGAGCCCCTTCGATTCCTCAACAAGCCGACGACCCGCGTCCTGCACTCTACACATGGCGTCTGCATGGGACGACAGCCCGTTTGGGCTGTGGACTTTGCTCTCAAAGCCTTTCGAAAGTAGCTGCCCTTCCGTCGCTCTTGCCATGCTTGGCCCCGTCAGAACATTTGGGTCTGTCGTGTTTAGAGGTACCCCCCCCCTCCTTTTTCGTGGCAAATCGAAACCAGGATTTTCACCGTTTGGGGTGGCATAGCCGTCGGGGACGCCAGGGTGAAGCTCTTGGCTGCGACCATGGAGTCTTTTCTTGACCGGAGCGCGTTGCGCGTGGATGACGGAACAGGTCTAGGTGGCCTTTCGGGTGTTTGATGATTCATATTCCCACAGGATGATAGTTGATGACTTGTTCCAAAAGCAAATGATCCCACATTCCCCGCCAGCCCTGCTTCATGTTTGCATGACTGCATGACTGAGGCCCGCCGAGGGAGGGTCAGCATCAGTACGAGTGCCACTATTGATTTAGATTCGTCCCTAGCTTCACAGTGAGCAGATCGAATCCCAAAAGCACCAGCCCAACTCAGGATGACCCCCAGCTGGCCACTTCTGACGCCCATCTGGCTGGGCTGCAGACCGTGGGCATCATGTTTGAAAGCACCTGGCAGGGCTGCGCCGCAATCACTGGATGATTGATTTCCTCTAATGGAGAAAAAGCCGAAAAGAGACCAAACAAAACAAGGGCTGTCGCTGTTGGGAGAAACAACACGAAGGGATCATCCGCAGCTACCAAATGGAAGGCTGAAAGACGGATTTTGCGAGGCGCGAAAAGCGTTCCTCGCCAGCTCCTGAGGCCCAAGCGGTGTTCAACACCTTCACAGCATCTCTTTTGGAAACCTCAGCCGAATCGATCACCAGTCACCTCTGCTCGGGCGATCCAGCTCGCCAAGAAATCCTCCCTTTGCGGATGTCCACTTGGGACAAAAAGGCGCACGTGGGGTAAGTCTCCGAGAGAGCGGGCATCTCTTAGGCTTCCATGCCATCAGAAAACAAGCAGTGCAAAATGTGCAAAATCGTAACATGTCCGAGGTTCAAAGGGGCACCCTGAGTTTCACTCTCGTCGGCATCTTGGGGCCGGACATCGTAGACATTGAGGAACACAGGGATCCTTAGCGGGCACAAGACGCCGGCCAAAGCTCTGAACTGGGAAAGGGCTCCATCCTTCGCAGTGAAGAAAGCCTTTCATGTGCAGAGCCCTTACGAGTTTCCTGCTCAAAACCTCAAAGCAACCCCCGGTAGCTAAGATTGCTGGCATATGTGGTGCAAAGCTGCACGACCCTTTCAGGTTCCAGCCCCTCACCAACCATCGGTGGACGCACCTCACGGCTGAGTCCCGGAGACATCGTGCGAAATCCAAGTGACTCAAAGTACCATGGGAATGATCCCCAAAGTTGCAGGTTTGTTGCTGCATTCTTCGTTTTGGTAGTTGGCAATGGTGTCCGTTGATACTGAGGTTACTTTGGACCTGGAACAAAAAAAAAAGCAACGCTCGGGCCAGGTCGCACGAGTGTTTTTTTCGTCTCAAGTCCCATCTGCTGGTCCCATCCGCTGTGTACATCTGTAGCGAGGCCTTCGGCCACATGCAGCGACAACGCTCCGAACGCCTGGATCCCTTCCAGTTGCATCTCCGTCGGGCGCCGAAGCGACGACTCCCCGAATCCTTGTGCTCGCAAGGTCGACCGCGGGAACGTCGTTTGGAGCAGGCTCCCTGGCCTCGCGACGCACCGGTCTGAAGCGACTCAGAGGTCGAGCCGAGCCCATCAACTTCCGTAGAGCCGAAGAGCTCCTGCAGGCCGCGGTACTTGATCTGCAAGTGCCGAAGCCGCTTGTTTTGCAAGGACCGTCAGAGCACAACTGCATGGGCCATCCGCTCCAGCCTCAAAGCAACCACGGCATTGCCTGGCACAAAGCTCAAAACATGTGGCCTCAGAAATGGCGAAACCAGCGGATTGGACAGCTGCGCCTTGAAATGTTGCGGCGTTTGGCCAGACTTCCTTAGCTTCTCTTGCCTTTGGGTTTCCCGCTCTTCTTGATGCCAACCTTCCCTCGAAGTACCTTCCGATTTCGTCTAGGTCCCTCTCTGTCATCGGCCGGCTGTCTGTCCACCTCATCTGACAGTGGCACCGCCTTGCTTGATTTGCGTGCTTTCTTCCTCTTGGAAGGATCTTTGGTACATTCCTGCATCGAATGCGGCTTTGCCTGCTCCAGCTTCCTTTTTGTTGGAGTGGGCTCTTCTGCATCTTCTGCTGTCGACTTCTTCTTGGCTTCTCCAGAAGAAGCTGCTTTCGGCTTGTCCTGCTTCTTCTTTTTTGGAGTGGGCTCTTCTGCATCTTCTGCTATCGACTTCTTCTTGGCTTCTCCAGGAGAAGCTGCTTTCGGCTTGTCCTGCTTCTTCTTTTTTGGAGTGGGCTCTTCTGCATCCTCTGCTATCGACTTCTTCTTGGCTTCTCCAGAAGAAGCTGCTTTCGGCTTGTCCTGCTTCTTCTTTTTTGGAGTGGGCTCTTCTGCATCTTCTGCTATCGACTTCTTCTTGGCGTCCCCAGAAGAAGCTGCTTTCTGCTTGTCCAGCTTCTTCTTCTTCGTTGGAGTGGGCTCTTCTGCATCTTCTGCTATCGACTTCTTCTTGGCTTCTCCAGAAGAAGCTGCTTTCGGCTTGTCCTGCTTCTTCTGTTTTGGAGTGGGCTCTTCTGCATCTTCTGCTATCGACTTCTTCTTGGCGTCCACAGAGGAAGCTGCTTTCTGCTTGTCCAGCTTCTTCTTCGTTGGAGTGGGCTCTTCTGCATCTTCTGCTATCGACTTCTTCTTGGCTTCTCCAGAAGAAGCTGCTTTCGGCTTGTCCAGCTTCTTCTTCGTTGGAGTGGGCTCTTCTGCATCTTCTGCTATCGACTTCTTCTTGGCTTCTCCAGGAGAAGCTGCTTTCGGCTTGTCCAGCTTCTTCTTTGTTGGAGTGGGCTCTTCTGCATCTTCTGCTATCGACTTCTTCTTGGCTTCTCCAGGAGAAGCTGCTTTCGGCTTGTCCAGCTTCTTCTTCTTCGTTGGAGTGGGCTCTTCTGCATCTTCTGCTATCGACTTCTTCTTGGCTTCTCCAGAAGAAGCTGCTTTCGGCTTGTCCAGCTTCTTCTTTTTCGTTGGAGTGGGCTCTTCTGCATCTTCTGCTATCGACTTCTTCTTGGCTTCTCCAGAAGAAGCTGCTTTCTGCTTGTCCAGCTTCTTCTTCGTTGGAGTGGGCTCTTCTGCATCTTCTGCTATCGACTTCTTCTTGGCTTCTCCAGAAGAAGCTGCTTTCGGCTTGTCCAGCTTCTTCTTCGTTGGAGTGGGCTCTTCTGCATCTTCTGCTATCGACTTCTTCTTGGCGTCCACAGAGGAAGCTGCTTTCGGCTTGTCCACTTTCTTGTTCTCTGGCGTGGATTCATCCTCATCTTCACTTGATGGTTGCTCAGCTGCGCCAGCTATTTTTCTAGAGTCCTTCCCGGCCGGAGCATCATCTTCAGAGGCCTCCTGTGATGTCGCAAAAGAGAACTTAGCTTCCAGGATTGTTTAACTGCCTGGCCAATGCAATGGACGGAACAAGAAAAAACTCAGCCCTGATCGAACTGCTACTCAATCTGCGAAAGAGACCCAATTGCCAGCAAGTCGTGCCATGCCCGTCTGGCGATGCCCCCGGAATCCGGCTCCTCGTCGGGCTCTTGCCTGAAGGACAGCGTCGACAAGTGGACAAAAGGGCACATGACAGGCATCTCTGCACACTTTCCCTGGAAGGCCCAACCATCTAAACCTGCCTACAAACAAATAAAGCTGCCAAGCACCAACCGAAACATACACCCACCAATCTAAACCAGTCTTATGTTGCGAGTCCAGAAGCCCCCGGCTCGCCTCTCGTGGGAGAACTTGCACTGCTCGCCTCGAGAGCAGCCTCCTGCACAACGCGCAGAATCCCCCTCCCCGGGCATAGCCTCATGCCTAGCTGAGCCATGATGAGTGGAGAAGTCACCCACAAGAGCCATGTCAGCTTGGCAAAGCTCTTGACACTCATTTGGCCCCCAATGAACCCGGCAAAAGTTCCATGATAGAGGCATCCTGCAACGAAGTCCGAAGAGACCATGGCCTGCGCCGGCCTCAACAAATCTTTCTGACCGGCTAGGCGCGCCGATGCCATGGGCCCGAAACGTAGGCTTACAACGCGTCGTTCCCAGATGTCCACAGCAGCATCGTCCAAATCTGCGGTCCCCCCCCCAACTCTTGGAGCCCCATGGAGTCTTCTGGCGCAATTTGGATGTCCCGCTCCAAAAGCCCACGAAATGCCCGAGCAGGCGCCTGCCGCGAAGAAGCGGCAGGGGGGCAGCCGCCGCCCGCCCTCCCCCTGCGCTTTGTGCAGGAATTGGCAGGAGTCGCCTCTCGCAGGAAAGCAACTGGCCAGTAGCCAGTACCAACCCTCTCTCCATCAATAGGACCAGGTTGGCTGATAAGTACGTCCTTCGACTTGTCCGAAGCCATGGAGTCACAAAAAAAACACAAAAACATGGAGGTTTGGGGTGTTCTGCTCTTACAAGTGCATGGTCAAGTGCGACTGCCGTGCCTCGCTGGCACTTGCCCTCCAAGAAAAACATACACAGCTCCTGAGCCACAAAGCTCGCTATGCCCAGGATGGAAATCATTGACCTGGCTTGCGACGGTTTCTGTCCGCCAACCGTTGCTCGAAAAAGAATAAGAAAAAAACATAAATTTCATAGCAACAACGTCCCCACCCACCCCCACCCCGCCGACCCGTCCTTCGCCTTCTTGGCTCCTTCACGGTTCCGCGCCACGCTTGCGGCCAGCACCTCGCACATGGGCAAACGCTCAACAAATGGATCCCTTTTAAAAAAAAAGGTTGAAGGGTCTGTGACCTGTGAAACCCGGTGGAGTTCCCCGACAGGTCGGATGCGGACGGTCACATTTTATGTTTTCTCCACACCGCAGGCGCGCACGCAGGTTTTCCCCTGCCTGGCCGCGGTAGGTTGCCCCATTGAGGCGCTGCGTGCAACTCCGTGCCTGTCTAAGCGGATTGTACTCATTGGGTCGTGACAAGTCTGCCTTTGGGTCGACCTAACGAGCTATCATCTTGTTCGCTTTCCAGGATGCAAAGTATTCTCTGCCGGGGACAAGGCGCATCCACGAGCACACAGGAGCAGGCGCCGTTTTAGCCCAAATAGTTCATAAACCAAACAATTGAGCTCGCAGGTTGTACTCCCAGCCCAAAATCTGCCTCGTCATCCGTGCTGAGGATGACAAAGGCGCTCATGAGCGTGCCTCCAGCATGCCTCAAATCACAGCACCCCAGCAAAATCACCTGAAAACCGCAATCACCTCCTGCAGCTCTCGCCGGTTTCCCTACATCAATGAAGACATCCAAGAAACCCGAACGACTGTTCTGGTTCCTGTTGCCCCCTTTGGCTTCAACGTGACCAGCGGCCTGCCGCGCACCACATGTTTTGCCCAGGGCGCTTCAGCAGCTTCACGCGATCAATGGCCACCTGACGTTCCAGGCCCAAGGCGCCCGTTCTCCCAGCTTTGATGGCTATCGATTTGCATTTTTGGAGCCGAGGCACCTATTCAGCATCATGGCTTAAACCTCCCCTGCCAAAACCTGCCCATTCTCCGCGGGTTAGCTGCATTTTGGCTCCACTCCCCGCAACATTAAAACAGCATCGGGCCCGAGCAGAAATTTTGCACATACTACAGATTGCCAACACCCAGAGACCATGTCTGAGCAGCCAAGTCAGCATTGCCTCGCGTGAGTCGGGTACCAAAAAAACGAGGAGCAACCAATTGGGCAACCAACTCTCTTGTCGCTGCTTCGTTTGCCGCAGTGTGTCCGAGTCTCCCAGCGCAAGCAGGGAGCGGAAAGACAAAGGGGGAGACGAATGGGGAGACAAGCTGTTGCATTGTCCAAGTCAGCAAGAGCAATCAAGAATACAAGTAGGGAGACAGGGGAGACAGGTAGGGAGACAAGTGGCAATTCTTTGCATGAGTAGAGAACCCCAACAGCTATATAAGCTGTTTGGAGAAAAATCCACACTTCACAGTAGCACCCATTTCCTGAATATATTGAGAGAAATGAAGACAAAAACAAAAAACTCTAATCCTACGCCCACCCACCATAACTGAAGCGTTGTTTTCTTGTGTAGTATTGCTTGCTGTGGAAATGTTGTGCAAAGTGTCTCAAATGCTGCGCAACATTCGGCACATATTGCAATGAAGTAAAATTTCACAAAGAACTGTCCTGCCATAGTGAGGGCAAAATGGTTTCGTCGGTTCTTTGCCATTGTTTGACGTTTGGTTTTCGGTGTTGTTTGCTTTGCCTTTTGTCCACTGGTTCTGTGGGAAAATATGTTGGGCATCATGTGACAAATGTTGCGCGGGCAAATTATGCGCAACACTCGGCAAATATCGCAATGGACGAAGAAACAGCATTCCAGCCCTGGAGGGGGCAGGGTTGTGTTGTTTCATGTGCTTTCTTGTGTTTTTGTTTGGTCCGGTGGCTTTGTGGGAATGTTGGGCATCATGGCAAAACATGCTGAACCAAGCAGAGAGAAATGGAAATGATGTGCGACATGCGCGGCATTTTTCCCAATACGTGCAGCTTTCATTTCTTGGGGGCGATGACCTGGAAGCAAGATTCCCAAGAAACTTGTCTGCTTGTCTGTGCAATCTTGGATCTTGGATATCTTGGATCCAGCCAAACATATACTTCAAACTTTTCCGGAAACATGTTTCTTCCACGTAGAGGCCCTTCGTGTTCGATCTAGGAGGTGCTCAGCTTCACCCAGTTCTTTGCGGGGAAAAATGAAGTCTGACAAATGCTGAACTGAAGTCTGGCATTCGCTCTGCAGATTTTGCCAAGGAGCAGGTGCATTGGCCAGGTGGCTTGGCTCAGATCGTGCTGAGTCAAAGTCACATGGAATTGGCTATGGGCAATTCACCCGTTGAGATTGAAGCTGGTCTTAATCTCAACCAGCCATTTCAATAGGTGCTTGCTACGTTTGTGCTTTTACTCGGAGTCCAGAAGGAGATGCAATTGGATAAAGTTGAATTTGGTTTGGTCAAGAAACTTCGTGCAGGTGCGCTTCTTGTTTCCAGTGAACCTCCGTTTTCAGCAATCAATCATTTTTGGGTCCAATTCTTGTAGCAACATGCACTCCTAAAAACAGGACCGTTTTCCAGTCCTGTTCTAGGTCTCTTAGCTACACCCTGATACAACAGTCCCGTTTGCTAGAAGAGCGGTCCTATTCATAGGGTCGCCAGTACGCGATTTTTGGAAGTGGATCAGAAACGTGGAGCGCAGCTGCAAGCCCACTCAATGGATAAACTTGGACGAAACAAGTGTTCGTAATGCCTTGGCTTCTCCGTTTCTACAATAGGCAAGTGGACTGCGCTCGGCATTTGCCTCAGTGAATGCATTTGCTGGACTGGGTGATGCATTGCCAGCGCATGGCTGGGCCAGATGGCGGTCTTGAAGCAACTCAGTGCTCTTGAACCGTGGTCACCACGATCAATGCAGCCAATTTGTATCACAATGTAAATGGACATGCACAAGGACATGGAGCACCTTTACATAACACAATTCAAACAGCAAGTACGGAATGAACTCCTTTCTCAACAAATTGAAGGTTTGCAGACTTTCCCTTCAAAGCGATACGAGTACAGAAACGATACCGACTACTCTTACACTGAACAGTTGCTTTTGTCAAGCTGGAGCTGCCACAAAAAGTACCTCGCTTCCTGCAAACTCTTGAATCCTGAATCCCATTTACCTCAAAGCGGCTTTAAAGGTCACGTTTCTCAAAATTCTAGATTCCAAAGAAAGATGTGTGGGGAATCTTGAATCTCAAAACAGCGGCAAGAAGATGTAGGTCTTGGGAGGGGAGGTAGCACATATATTACGCAGATATGCATTTGCAGGCGCTTTGTCGCTGTGAAACTAGGCAAGTAGCAGCTGATATCTGGGCCAACCAAGAAGGAACAAAGTAGAAGAAGAAGAAGAAGAAAAATAAGGACAGTTGACAGACCGAACACAGGTTGAGGAATCGCTGGCAAGACAGCGCGGCGAACAACTCAAGCAGAAGACACGCTCAAAGCAAAAGCTTACATGTCAAAAGCTCCACGGGGGTGGCATCCTTTTGCGCGCCTCGCCACACTTCTTCAGCAGCATCTTTTGGACGTCGTCCACCTCGGGAGGCTGGACCGCTGACACGTCGGATTGGAGTAAAAAGAACACCCCAGCCCGGCCGCAATTTGGCGGCCAACGCATCCAGGATAGCCTGCCAGCGTTATCCCAAACATATTATGGACAGGAACAGCTGCCAAGCTTGCAGGAAGCTGCGAAGTAAAGTTCATTATTCGCACAAAGGAAATTCTCCATAAACCGAGGCGGAACCAACAAAAACGACATCCGGGGTCTCCTGTTGAGGAACAAATTTCGGCTCAGGACTTGGCTGGACGTGGTCAACACCTTGCCGTTGGCCCGGGTAGCCCCAGCTCGGGCCCGGGCGGTGGACTCCAAAGGCAGCGGCCGCACGAAGACCTCGCGCCCGGCCTCGCGGCGCGCGAGGGGCGCTTTTGGACGTGACTTGGCTTGGCCCCTTTGCCGGACTTACTGCTCGCTTCTGAAGCCGCCCTGACCCAAGCAACTGGCGACATGCGAACCAACTCTGGGGGACGAAGGGGTCGGGGGTGGGGGGGGGGGCGCCTCTTGCTCCCGCAGCCAACGAAGGTGCTGCGCTTTGGCGTCCATGGCGCGAAAGCCAACGGCGGAGAGCGGCCGTGGAGGCAAATGGCAGGGGGCGTTGCCTCACTGGTTTCCCTTGGCGACTCTGAGCCAGTTTGGAATTAGACAGCTTGAGCCATCACAACTCCTGCAGGTGCAGTGACATGGAAAAAGCTATTACTGTGTGTCAAATGTGCCGAAGGAGTCTGCAGAAGCGTTAGCTAAGCGTTGCCGCGTACGCATCAAGTCAAAGTCACACTCAAGAAAACAATGATTGCTTCTCTGCGACGCGGGTGAGTTCATGAATTGATGTTTGTTCGCCAGCACGTCCCTAGCCCTGCAACGACACCAGCTCAGGCAGCGAGTGCCGCTTGCTTGCTGCTTGTGAAGTTGAAGTGGGCCATGTCCCCGGCAAACCGCCCTCGGTTTGTTGAATCCCTCCACCCTTCCTCCCGGCCTCGAGGTTGGGGCCTTGGCAAGGGATGGAGGTGCCTTCCAATGCCCCGAAAGAGGCAATGGCAAGTCGATTTGCGCTGAGAGAAGGGAGGACTCGTTGCGACGGAACGTTGTAGAACGGTGAACGAGCAATAAAAGGCCATTCAAGAGATGAATTGTTCTCTCTTGTGCTGCGAAAGGCATGAACGGTCCCGTTGATGGACGAGCCATCGAACATAGCACAAGTAATGCCAACTACCCATCTGCAACCCACATGTCCAAGAGGCGAAGGAGCCTTTGTCCAAATCATAGCCGACTACTGGCTAACACCACGAAAGCCAGGAGCTGAGGCACAAACTCCGACAAGTTCCGCAAATTGAATCTTCACCAGAGCCAACATTGTGCTAGCGGCTCTGGGGTGCTTCGCCTTTATTCAGACCGCCCGGCCCCCCCTGCAAGAAACCCTCCTCAGGGTTTTTCCCAAGCGGCGCCTCTCTTTGTGGCCAAGGTACAGATATACATAGCTTATTTCGATTTAATCCCTTCGCGCACGAGCAACGACTGGGCTCCTTGCTCTTCCACAGCGCGCCCAGCATGCTGCGCATCGGATGGAAGAGTCCCAACATGTCCCCACAGCTAAAACAGAACCTCAAAGCAGAGCCTCAAAAGAAAAAATGGTGAGCAGGTCTGCCATTTCGTAGGGAGCAAGGTTGCACCAGTCGGGATTCCTTTCAAGGTACGTCCCAGTCATCCGTCTTGCTCGAGCTGCAAGTTCAAAATGAGTCCATTTATACACGCAAATGTCTCAGTTTTGAAAGGATGGACCCTTTTTGGAAACGCCGCTTCTGTCCGATGGATTTCCCTACCTCAGAAGATTAGTTCAAGCCTTTCGACGGTATTCCTACGGTACACCCCAACTCCGGCACCCGGCTCTGGGCCTGGCTGGAGCCTTCGAGCTTGTGAGCCTTCGGGCCAGGTCTGTTAAAACCAGCGACTCGACAGTTCACGGAGTCTAGCAGGTGATCCCAGGACTCGAAAGACTCCTCTCAAGAAAGCTCCGAACTCCTAACGCCAGTCTTTCCTTTCGAGATCTTCCCCCTCGCTGCTCCCTTGCTCGCGCCAAGTAACCGAGGCCGCGGCCCGGTGATCGCCTTCTAAATAATGCTCCTCGCTCGCGCTTGCAGATTGGTTGGGCACTCGCCGCACCCCCCGATCTCCCCTCCAAACATTCAGGAGACATGATCAAGCAGAACATGGCAGGATGCGGTGAACAGCCCTGCTCCCTGCAAAGGAATATTGGGCATGAGCCGGATGGAGCAAGGTGCTGCAAGTCAAGCAAGTCAACGGCACTGTAGAGTAGTGGAGCTCTACAAAGCAGAAGGGTTCGAAGGCACACGGATGCTGAGGCCAAGAGACAGCGTCGCGTGACACAGAGACAGCCCGTCCTGGGATCTCCCATATCCAGACCCAATCTCCTGTTAAGTGTGTTCTGCTGACATTAGGTTGCGCTTCTTGGCATTCTTGGCGTGGCTTGAGGTAGCGTGAATTGGCTGCTCTGCTCACACAGCACCTAACAAGAGCCCAGGGCTGCAGAGTGCAAGCCTCGCCTCTCTACACAAGCGTCGACTAAGCGCCACGCACCAACCTCCAGCTCTCCTTTTTGTTCCATTCTGCCCTCACCAAACGGCCTTGCGCATGCCATAAGTCGGGGTGGAAAACTGCTCCCTCTCCAAACGGCAGCGAGTCTTACCTGCTCGCCAGCGCCCAGGGTGCCTGTGCAGCAAAATGGTCGCAACAAAATGATGGAAGAGGCAAAATCAAATATTCTCCTGCAAAGACCGGCTTATCACTCTAAGCAAGCCTGGGACATATGAAAAATCGGCGAACTGCAACAAACCCTTCCAGCAAAAGAACAAAGCAAGGAAGACCTCGCCATGATCCCACTGCTATGCATGCAAAGCCACATTGGCCCCTTTGCCTCGCGACTGGGCACACTGGGTTGCTGAACATGACACATGACTGGACGCAGCTCCCAGTCCAGAACCTGCACCCTCGATCATCAAATCACGTTCAAGGCGTGCAAAAAACGAGCATTTCTGGAGAGCAAACACTAACCCTAGGCCTCACACGCATGCATGCGCTCGCGCCCGCGCGCCTCAGGCGTCCATGAGGTTGGTGACCTCCCGGAAGTGGTGGGCCGGCAGCGGAGCGTTGCCCGGGCGCTTCAGTAGGACCGCCCGCCACCCGGCCTGACGTGCGCAGATCGACTCAAAGATGTGCTTCTTTTCGAAAGAGGGCTGCAGGAACGCGTCTCCTCTCTTTCTTTCTGGGTCGGGCAAGGCAGTACTTCACAAAGCTGGCTGAATTCCAGAACAGGTTGGAAGGTACAGGCAAGCTGGGGGGAGGTTGTCCGAGCGCGGGTCCGGGAAAACTGCCAGAAACTTGTGGTACGGTGGGATGCCCAAAAAGTTGTCAGTAGGGGAACAAGGAATTTACAGCAATGTGCTTGGATGTTGGTGTGGGCCATCCTCCTGCAGCTTCTGTGTCGCGTGCGTGTGCAGCCTGCCGACCAGAAGAAGAAAACAAACCACCGTCCACAAACTGTGTGCTTAGGCAAATTCCCGGAAAGGGAAATTCGTTCATCTTGTCGCTCAAATCGGACTTAAAGCTGGCAAGCGCCCTCCGCATGCCCCGCTCCTTGCTCGCCGCCTGCGCCTCCGCCAGCACATCCGTGCAGAAGAGGCCTCCCGACTCGGGACTCGAGACTGAACGGGGCAGATTGGTTTCGGGAGTCGGACCGAACCGAACGCTTCGAACTAAAACATCCCAACATCCCAACTCGCAGTTCCCTTGTTTCCCTTGATCTCCAACTCGTTTCGCTGCTTCGGCCTTCCGAAGGGTGGATGCCCATGGACAACGCGATCTCTTCGTAGGCCTTCGGCTCCTGCTTCGAGGCCTGCGCGCTCCCGTTTCACGGCTTCACGTGGCTCACATCGCATGCCCCGGTTGCCTGGGCCGACTTGGGGTCAAAGTAGGCGGAGATGAAGCCGGTCAAGTCCCCCCGGTCGCTGTGCTGAAAGATCAGCCGCTGAGCCTCACATTGGAACCGGCTTGGGAGGCTCCAGGATAGCTCAACCCCAGAGTCAAGAAAGAATAGCCATGCTTCCAGCAGGGGCCAAGCTTTGCACCAATACCTGGTGTCTTGGATTGCTGCCTGCTTGGTCCAGCATGTCCAGCAAGCGCTCTGGAGCCATGCGATTCGCCGCAAACAAAAAGGTGAACTGGAAAAACATCTATGATGTTCTTTGGGGGGAAGAGGTTGTTGACCCCAGATGGCCGTTATCGTAGCTGATATAATGGCCCCCGAAAATAGCGATCTGATGCCTGCTCTCATTTACGCAGCGGCAAAAACTGTAGCAGGCATACTTCTGTTTGCTTCCCGTGTACAACATCTGGACCGACAAATCAAATAAACAAAAAACAGTGACAGAACACATCTACATTTGAGTCGCGGAAAGTACTCCCTGCATCCCGAACTAACATTGGAATATGGTGAGTAATTTGAGTTCCTCATTTCAGTTTGGTGAGAAGACAATCGCTCCCTTTGCTACAGTGGATCCGGATAAATTTGAGCGTTGCTCGAGCCAAAACCAAGACCGGCATCAAAAGGGCTCTGCCCCAAAACCCAGAGTCTACCATAAAAACACGCCAAAAACCTTGTATTTTCTTTGACTTTGACGTGTTTAGACGGACCTCCCACCTGCCACTTACAAACAAACTCTCGCCTCTCGGCTGCCACTGGAGAAGATGGCCACGCGCCGGCCGCTGGCCACCCACCCGGTCATCGCCTCGGGGGTGTCCTCGCTTCGGACGGAAGTGAACCCGTTTTACAGGAAGGGAACCCCAACAGGGCTCGATTGAGGTGACCCTTGAAAAGGGGATCGATCTTTGAGATATCATGATCAAGGTGATCCCCTTATTGCCCTGGTGGACCCCATGAGGCTTCCCCTTAAAAAAAGGAATGCCCAAGGCCTCATATCTCCCTGACACAATGCCAGGTTCTGCCCACCAACCGCGAGCAGCAAGGGCCGCCATATAAAATGCCCCGCGGACACGCCAAGCGTTCACCGGTACTCCACCTGAGACAAGTTGAGACAGGATGATGACACTTGCAAGCTCGAGTTCAATCTGAGCTGCAAGCAGAAAGTCCTGCATGCCATCATCGTGCCATCCAGGCTGGTCTTCTCCCCTCAACCATGCACAAGCTGCAATCAAATCGAGGGAAAGATTGCAGCCGACGATCACCACGTGTCACGTGTGGCAAAAGAAGCCGCCAACATGGCAAAGGAGAGCGCGCTACACGCAGGCTCGCCAACTTGGTCCAACAACGGCCTAGGCATATCAAGGAAATCAGAGACCAAGAAACCTTATCAGTGTATCAGAATTTGCTCTCCTGCATTTGCGTGGTCGCTGAAGCTTGGTCTGCCCCTCAACATTAGCCATGCCACAGGAATTTGGCACTTGACAGCCCACAAATGAGGGCTTCAAGCCGTAAGCCCTGCTGTGCCATCTGGGCTTGTCAGATCCCCTCTACGTTGCAACTACTCGCAACAAGAGGGAGAGATTGCAGCCTCCACGACAAGATAACGGCACTTGCAAGCTCAAGTTCAATGTGAGCTGCAAGCACTGCATGCCGTCATTGTGCCATCTGGGCTGGTCTTGCCCCCTCAACAATGCACAAGCTGCAATGCGCAGGAAAGATTGCAGCCGGCCATGCCTGTGTATGATCATAAATGTGTCTTTACCTGTGACAATAGAAGTTGCCAGCATGACAAAGCAGAACGCGATACACGCAGTCTCGCCCACGTTGCGGTCTAGCAACGCCCCAGGCATATCAAAGAAAACAGAGACCAAACAACATTTTCAGGATTTGCTCTCCTACACATGTGTGGTCTCTCGCGCGTCTCACGCTTGGTCTTCATGCCACAGGAATTTGGCACTTGAAAGCCCACAAATGAGGGCTTCAAACCGTAAGCCCTGCTGTGCCATCTGGGCTTGTCAGATCCCCTCCACGTTGCAACTACTCGCAACAAGAGGGAGAGATTGCAGCCTCCTCGGACGAACAATGCAGCAAGGCCTGCCACAGAACATGCTGCGCAGACACTCCAAGCGATCACCAGTACAAGATAATGGCACATGCAAGCGCAAAATGGCCCAACAGGCGATGCCAAGAATGACCCAAAGCGAGATGTTGCTTTGTGCAAAAGAGAGGGGGAGGGCAAGGGGCCGCCACGGGGATAAATTTGACCCGGCGACGAGCCTGGTGAGAGAGGTCCGAGGCCGAAGCGGCGAAACAAGTGCACCAAGCACAGTGACAGTGTTCAAACACCCGCACCATAAACACATTTAATTTCAAAAAAATCTGCGAGGGGAGAGTTAAAGCCGCCCCTCGAGCTTCTCGATCGGCTGCCGAGCTCCTCGAACATCTCGCCCTTGAGCTCCTGGCGCTCGTAGCCGCTCTTCCAAAGCTTGCCCTGGAAGAGCGGAAGCTGCCCATGGGCGAACGCCGGACACGCCGGACACGGGAAAACTCTGCCCCAGTTCCATCGTCGATCAAACAAAAAAGAACGTTCTGCCGACGTTCCACGAAGAGACTCGCCTGCAGATCCTTCAGCGCCGAGACTTTCCGGTCTTTGGCGATCCACTCCTCAGACAAAACACATCAGAATCCCACGTCGAGGCTGTTTTGAGGCTGTTTGCGCCGGAAACCAAACGGAAACCACCCGGAAACGCATGTGTCACCCGCAATGTCTTGAGGCTCTCGAGCCTCCCCCCCGCGCCTTGGTGAGTCGCACAATCTCCTCCTGAGGCGCTGCATCGTTGAAGGGCACCTTGTCCTCAGGGCAAACCACGCAGTCTCCATTTCCGACCAAAAAGGCCCCGGTTCGGCTCTCGCCTCCTGGCACTGCTTCTTGAAGGCTGCCGCCACCTCTGGCGGAGCGTCCTTGACCCAGGCATCCACAGCGCTGGCAGCGTAGGGGAACAGCCGGTCCTAGGTCTCACGAAGTCCGGTCGACGCGCTTCTGTGACTTGGAAGTCAAGTAGAACCTGTGAGGTCTAGCGATTGGTTCAACGCGCCTTCCAGAAAGCCGCCGTTGCTCCCTCTGATTTCCTTGAATTGGGTTTTGCTTAGCTCAAACTGCGAACTTGGATCGCCTTGACGAAGGAGATGGGCGTGGTGGTGCCCTCGATGTCCAGCAGCACCACCGTGGGCGCGCCCGTGCGGCGCCGCTTCAAAGGTCGGGGCACCTGCCGAGGGGGCCCAGAAAACGCATCACTCGTTTCCAGCACTTGAAAAGGGACAGGATGGAAGGATTCTCCAGGAAAGCCGATGAAAACCATCCTCGTTGTGCCGGGGGTGACATCTGTTTCCGATGTAAATGAACGCTTTGGATTTATCACAATCTGGAGGAATCTGAGGGAGCAATACCATCCAATGGAACAAGCTGGCGTTGACCGGGCTGCACGCAAGAAGGAAAACCCGCGCACTGCGCGATCCGAGTCAACTCGGAGGGCAAATGCTGAGCGCGCCGCTTCAACACTTCTCCTGAGAGCGAGAGACGGAGGCACTGGAAATTCCAGCTCCAGTCGAGTCGCAAGACAACTCAAGGGAACTGCTTCACCACACAGACTAGTCTTGTCACTTCACCAAACCATACAGTCGGCTTGCCTGATCGGTCTCCTTCATGCTCAACCACTCATTGACTTTTCAGATTCGGCGCTTCAGAGTCCCGGGTCCTCCGAGATTCCAGATCGAGGATGAAGCCCAGGCACTCCGTCCCGATCTTCGCCTTCCTCGGCTATCCGCAGTGTGATATCCGTGCTTCCCATTTGGCCCGATCTGTGCATGGGTACGTGAAACACAGCCGCTGCGACTTGTTCTGCCCTGACCACGCCCCCAAGAATTGCTCCCTGCGCCGCGTGTCTCCAGGGAGCTGCCGAAGACGTAGGCGCCATGATCCTGAGCCATCGATTTGATCCATCCCTTCGGGCGCAGTTCACTGGACCCAAATTTGCACAGAATGGCCACATGGGGCCAGCGCAGTGGAGCTATTGGTCGGGTTTCCTGCGGGGAAAACGTTTGGTATTGGCCCCTGTCTTGCCCTCCCCCAAAACGCCAATTCCATGAGGTCTGGTCCGTTGCTCCTCATAACCCCCCCTTAAACACCGTCCCACACAAAGGAACCTCGTCTGAAAACGAGTCTTGAAACTGTTCCAAATGGCGTAGTGGACATCTAAACCCCTCTGGTTTTTGGAAGGGGGGAAAGCAACCTGGATGTTGGATGTTGCAGGCCCCCGGGGCTCGGAAAACGGAAACGCATCTCCCACAGCGAGGCTCGCGCACCAGCACCGCCGGGGCGGTCTCCCACCTCTCCAACGCGCGCAGCAGCTCCGGCACCAGCTCCGGCTCGGTGGCCTGGACGGGGCATCCGCGTGGATATGAGTCAAGAGTCAATCAGAGTCATGAGAGTCATAATCAAAACACGGTATCAAAATGGTCTACCCAGAGCCATGTAAAGATTTCAGAAGGCGGCCGCAGATGTTTATGGTTGGGATTGTCCCTTACTAACCTTTGTCATCTACTCGGGTTTTGATTGTCATGAGAGGCACAAGTCACGCGACTTGGTCTGGGCATTGTGCGCTTGCACAAGGACGAATCAGATGCCCGCCTTGTTGGCAATGATGGGCAGGGCCAGGACTCCATCACCAGGCACTCCCAAGCCTCTCGTGACCCGAATACAAACCCCACGCAGCCTCAGCTCTGTTCTGAACTCTGCGTCACTCGCCATGTGAATGCCGAGCAACCCTTGATCATCTCGCAGTCCCTAATGCGCAGGACCTCGGGCAAGAGTTGAGAGGAGCAAGGCCTCGAGTTCGGGGGGGCAGGGGAGGAATCAATGAACTCAACTGCAACAGGCAAAACCTGCGGCAAATGGGAGGAGTCGGGCAGAAACATTCGAAACCACTAAACCACTTGCCTCTCCCTTTTCTACATGCAGCATGGGCCTCATCTCCATTGTCAGCCGCCAGAACGGCAGCTACAGAATGGATGTGACAAATAGCAGCCACAGCGCTCCTGCAAACCGCAAGCCCCGGGAGGCCCCAAAGGTGAGACAATCCTCTTTCACTTGATGCCACTTGGACAACCAAAAGGTATGAGCAGCCGGACCGATGTTGAAAATAAGGCACAGGAGCCACAGACAAACTCACTATCTTGAGCCTCAAGAGCCCACACACAAACAAACACCCCAAAGGGAAAAGCAAGCAGAACCTGCACCCCGTACTCAGTACTCCTATGTAAGTATCGTTCCAGACAGTGTTCCAGTACATGGAGACATGAAACCACATCGCCTTTTCCCTCGTGTCCCACGTGCGATCCCACCACAAAGCCTGCCTGCGCTCAAAGACCGCAGAAAAGACCGTGAGGCTGTCAGAGACCTTAGCAGCCTTCCGCGGCATCTTCAGCTGCTCACCAGATCTCGAAACCAGGAAGAGATCCTGGGGGCTGCGTTGCGTACCCGAAATGTCATTTGCCTGTGCCTCTTCAAAACGAAAGGGCTTGATGTCCTAAAACTTGGACAATTTAGGCTTTCAGTTTCTGCAAAGGCCCTGTGCTAGGCAGCCAGAATGAAACACAACCATGTCACAACATCCGAAAAAGAGGCGTAGCCATTAAGCCATTGGTCTGAAATCCGGGCATGCAGCCTTTCAGTACCTGCGGCCATCTAACTGGTGAGACCAACATGTCTCCCTTAGAGCCCAAGACGAAATCTCTCGCTTGAATCGCTGCCCAACGAACGCCGCGAGCGTCCTCCGGCTCCAGGAGCTCCTTGGGCACGCCCGAGGGCGTCACCAGCCAGGCGTCGCGGCCCAGCCGGGCGCCGCAGGCGCCGGAGGAGCCCAGGCACCAGCCCTGCCCGAAGAAGCCGCGCAGCACCCGCCTTCGCTTCGACCGCTTCGATCGCTTCGATCGCTTCGATGGCATCGAAGCGACGGATCCAGTGATGAAACCAATAAAGTCAAATTTAAAACGGATGAAACGAATTCATCGAACTGACGAATCCGATGCACGAGGGGGAACAAGAAAAGGATGAAACGAATTGCCGGATCGATGTGCCGCCGGCCGGCACGATGGAGGCTCTGAGTTTCCTCTCCTCCTCCAAAGGCTGAAAGCGCTGCTGATATCGCTGCCGCGAAAGGTGCTGATCTGCTGGCCTGTTGATGGGCGTCCAAACCGGGACGCCCTTGAACAGACCTCGGGGAGTCAGACACGGTTGACAAGCAGAGATGAAGCGAGATGAAGCAAGTCAAGACATCAGTGGACTTTCTACCAGTCCAGTCAGGATAAGGACGAAGTGCACCAATGCAGTTCAGGCTCGCATGGCCTGCGTAAAATTCTTCGAATCCATGGTGAACCTTGGCACAACTTGTGAAGGCGTCAGGGTTGCACCCAGAATGGTCCAGAAAGCAGCACCGTCAACAATTTATCTTACTTTTTGGCCTTGAGTGTGTCATGCCATGTTGGAGCTGGCGACAAAAGCATGCTTCGCGGATTCCGAAGAAGCTTCAAACCACGTACCCCTCTCTGTCAACCGCTCGCCTGTGGTAGATGCCCTCGGGCAATACGATCAGGTCGCCGGCACTTAGCGCAATCCGAATCCAGCGGTCCTGTCACTGCGGCGTCCACCCTCTGAACAGGTGCTCATAACTCGGTAGCCAGCCCTGCATGGATTGACATGCGCCACATGAGATGCTGGCTCTTGCATGGGATGATAAGAAACTTTGTTGGCTGAGAAAGGTTAGTTGGCAACAGTGCAACATGACAGCGGCCCTGTCCTCGCGATCGCGCACATCAAAGTAGCCACTACCATTCAGAATGTACCTCACTTCCTGGCCATGTCCGTTTCTCGGTGAATTGCCCAGTCTGCAGTCTGCCATCCAAATTGATTGGCCTTGCCTCGTCCGAATGGATGTGCTCCTCAAAGAAGGCTTTCAGCTTGTTGTGGTAATCGGGCAAGCACTCCTGCACTTTGGCGCCATGGAAACCGCACCGCAAGCTGTCTTGTCCACCCTTTCCCTCTACTCTTGAAACTGGCCGGCCTCAGAGCAAGTGATGATGTCCGCGTAATTGTAGCCGCGCGCATCGCGGATCGCTGCCAAATCCGGGTCCTCTCCAGACACTCAGATGGCATTCAAACGGCATTCAAATGGCATCTTTTGCAACAACTGGAGACCGCAAGGAAAAGGCGCCAGTATGCGCCAGTCTCTGCGTGTGCGAACACGTCGCACCACGAAACAGCGCTAGCCGTGAGAGCCGCTAGCTCCAAACCATCGGAATGGCGGAACACAGCAAAACACATGGCGCTTGCAGCTCACCCCGGTATGAGCCCGCCTGCATGCCCTTCGGTTCCCACGGCACAGCTTTGGCTGGATATTCTCCTGGCGGCCCCCCGTTTCAGACTCGCCTTTCAAGCCTTCCCTTTCTGACCATCAGCAAGTCCCATTCTTCCCCAAGTCTGCAGTGGAAGGCGTGTTTAAGCATCGACGCCCGACAGGCAGCGCCTTTGGGCAGGATGTGCCACTGAAGAACCCCAAGGTCTCGCAGCTCATCAGGCGACACCTATCCAGTGCCATTGCATCCCATGCTTTTCAGACTGGCACAGCTGGCAAGCCCAGATGGCGCTTGGCAAATCTTCACAAGCGCCAAATGTCGACGGGATCTAAGATCTCCGCCGGCTGGTTTGGATCCATGCGGTTCTCTGCCGTCTGATCCTTCACCTCGGTCGCCTCAGCGTCATATCGAGCCGACCCATGCCTTCAATGCAACCGAAGACGGTTTCGACCGCCGATTCGGAAAATCCCGCAATCCAAAGCCAGAAATGGCTCTCCGGCAACTGCCTTGATCGCTGAGTCGCCATGTACCATGCTTCAATGGCCGGCATGGCTCTGTTGGAGGGTAAGTTACACGTCAAAGAAGCATCCTCATCATGTGTTCGCGAGCGGAGGCCCGCGTCGTCAGTGTAACCAGGTAACCATGTTGTAAAGGCCGAACATTTTGCGGCACCCAGCTGAGCCGAAACAAGCATGTTCTGATTGACATCGCGACTGAACTTCCCACCCAAAAAAACAGCAGTATGTCCACGTGGTCTCGAGCTGCAATTGAATTCCGTCGGTGTCAGTTTGCAACACAACGGCAGAACATGGCATTTGCAAAACCAGCAGAACAGGCGAAGCCCGTGGGCGGAAGTGCGAAAACTGCAGTTGGATTTTATATGTTGTTTACTCTTGCTTGTTCTCCTCTTCTTTGCATATGTGTTTGTTACTTTGCTCGTTGTTGCTGTTGTTTTTTCACTATCACTATCACTATGTTATATATATAGTACTTTCGTTATTTCCAAATTTATGTTTTATTTCTTTACGTTCTTCTCTTTCCTTTTATTTCATGCTATTTGTTGTGTTCTTTCTTTGCTTATGTCTTTGCTTGTGTCTTTGCTTATGTCTTTGCTTATTATGTCTTTCTTTCTTTCTTTCTTTCTTTCTTTCTTTCTTTCTTTCTTTCTTTCTTTCTTTCTTTCTTTCTTTCTTTCTTTCTTTCTTTCTTTCTTTATTTTAAGTCTTTTGTTTGCTTTATTTTTCTTTCTCTCTTGTTCATTTTCCTTATTTCTTTCTGATTCTTCTCTTGTCATCTATCTCAAAGAGCTAGCTTTCAATTAGTTGCCGTAACACGGCAGCTCCTCGTACACTTCCTTTGAACAAGGCCTGCGTTCCTCTTCGGCAAACTGCCGACAAAAATATCGTGAATACGCAAGCCACCAAAAGCAAAGCGGTGAACCGACAACGAAGCAGCCTTTGCTACGCCTACTCCCGTACTCCTTCGAAGGTGTGTGATTTGGGCCCGACACGTCCCACACACAAAAAGACGCACCCCAAAACCCCATCTGCAGAGAAGATCGCTCAAACAGCGGTCGCACCAAGGTAGAAATTTCCCTGCAAATTCCGCGTGAGATTTTGCCCCGAGGCGTACACGAGATGAATCCCTTTGAACCAGCACAAGGACTCTTGGCGCTTTTGGACCAGGCGGGGTCGTTGCAGTACAGCTGCAAGAACCTTAGATCGTGCTCAAGTCTGCATGCACGTGTTCCAGAAAGAGAGCGACGCGCTGGTGCGGTAAGTTTTGCAGAGAGTGCCATGAGCTTGACCTCACAGCGACTGGTGTCCGACTCTGTGCCGCCCTGGGCCAATGTTGCTTCAGGGTGGCTGCACAAGCAGCTCTTTGCAAGCGTCGAGCAAGCGCAGAAATTACAGCGCTTTGCTTTGCACAGGTTGGTGGAACATGATTTCTCAGCTGCCATGAGCGCCAGGTTCTGTCCAGATATCCAGACGCAGCTTGACCCCGTGGCATCCAATCCATGCTGCCCTTTCGACAGCCGCTGTTTGAGCAAGCAACATGCTGCATGGCATGCGCAAGGCTCGCGAGCCTAAGGTGAGGCAAAAGCGGACACTGCGTCAGACGCAAGTTGCCTAAGCTTTCGGTGCCTGCAATCATGACGGACAAGAAGCTTGGCACGCAGGCGCACACAAGCAAGTTCCGTCAGCCAAACTGTGTTTGCGAGGTGCTGGAAGCCCAGCATTGACTCACTTAAAGTGCACACATTTAGAGTGTGGTCGGCAACATCGTGCTTGCCAGATTTAACCAGCTGATCGAGCAGCCGCGCTTGCCGCAAGGCAGCAAAAAGCTTTGAGCAAGAGCTTGAAAGTCGGGCAAAACTGTGGGTTGTGGCAGAGGCAAGCTGCGTTAGCTTTTTAAGGTGGCCAATCGAAATGGACAAGCCGATTTGCCCTAAAGCGCACACAACAACACAGTCTTGAACCATTCAGATTGACGTCGTCAAACCTGCGCTGTCAGTCAATCACTCTCTTTCTGAAGCACTTGGACACCAAAAAACTCAACAAAATCGAAGGCCCGTGACGTCCAAACTATCTTGGCCTTCCTGTCCTTGCACGTGGCCTTCTTGCAGACCCTGTTTGCCGCAAGCAACATGCTCCACGGCATGCGCAAGGCTGTGTCAGACGCAAGTTGCGGAAACTTTCAAGGCCTGCAACCATGACGGATCAGACGCTTTGCACATCTGCTTGGTTCCAGGGCTGCCCGCAAGGCGCACACAATCAAGTTCTCTCTCTATCAGCCAAACCGTGTTGCCTACTACGCCGCAAGGCAGCGCTTGAGCAGCACAGAGTCGGCCACGAGGCGCTGTGAGGTGCAGCCCATGGCACTCCGTGCGGTACTCACAGTACCGGAGTGTCACTCCCTTAGCATCTAAACCATCTTGGCCGGCCTGCCCTCGCAGTTGCCATGTTGGCAGCCTCTGTTTGCGGTGTGCGACATGCTGCGCAGCGAACACAAGGCTGGCTGGCTTGGGGCGATGCAAAAAAAGGTGGTGTGAGGGGAAAGTTGCTTAAGCTTTCGAGACGAGCTATCGAAAGGCATGAGCCGCTCTGCCCCAGCGAGTGCCACAACATGCTAGACAGCTTGCTCGACGCTTGCCAGACTCAAGCAGCTGCTCAAGCAGCGACAGTTGCCGCAAGACAGCGGAATGAATTGAAGTCCTGCTTCACCTTTACGCCGGCCAATCAAGGATGGATAAGCCGCTCTGCCCTGGCATGCCTTCTGCGTTCTGTCACTGATAACGAAGTGTCAACTAGGAGTGACGACATCTTCCCAGCTGCTGCGAGACAAGGGGTGCTTTTGCTCGACATTTGGCAGGCTTAAACAGCGGCTGGAGCAGCCATGGGCCACACTTGTTGAACAAACGTTTGCCGCAAGGCAGCGGAAGGAGCTTGAAAGTCAGGCAATCAAGCACGCTGCTTTCTGAACTACTTGGACACCAAAAACCTCAGCAACCTGCAAGCACCTACCCACTCCATCAACCGTCTGCTCAAGCGAGATGACCGCACATTGTGGCACCGTTCCTCTGCAAGCAAGGCGCACACATCCACATGGAATTGGGCGTCTGGCTCGCAGAGGAACGGTGCCTAAACTTCCTTCTGACGCAAAGCTGCTCGCGCAATTCTTGCGCTTTTGCCCCCGGCAGCCGCTGGCTGCGGCGCACCTGACAGAGTGTGCAACACCTGAGCCTTGGACTTACAATTGGAATTCTTGTGGGTTGCGCAATGGCACGCAGACATGGCACTCTGAAATTGGAGCGTAGCAGTCTCGGGGCCTTGTTCCGAAGCATTGACGCGAAGGGAGAGTCGCTCATTCAACATCCCGATTGGCCCAAAATGCCAACGCTTCATCTTCATGCTGTCAAGCACGGCTTGGGCATGGAAGTCAAATGTTCGCGGTCGTGGCTTCCCTGCAAGCCAGCAGCGGCGGAACATGATCTGAGAAACGCACTCAGACATGACCTCGCACCGTGTCACAGGCCTCATGCCTCACATCATGCAGTCGAAAGATCGTGAATGCGCCTGGCAAAGCAAAGCATCGAACGGACAATGGTCTAAAGAAGCTGCAAATGGCATCGAATCATCGCATGGCGAACGGATGCGAATGGTCTCTGTATCTTTTTTGTCGCCCCGCTGCCTCTACGCGCTGCCCGGCCTCGGATCGAGCGCAAGATATGAGCGGGCCATGTGGCCCGAACACGTCCCACAAAAGGAGACCCACCAGATTGATGTTGCAAACCAAACGATTGAGCGGCGTTCTAAACCCAGTTGCGGCCAAAGAGAAATCTCAAGTGAGCCAGCATCAAACATGCATGTCTGGGGTGTATTCATTCCGACGAAAGTACGCGCCGTATCGCTGTACAGATTCTTTCTCTGCTTCGCTTGGACGTCCAGTATCGTATTTTCCAGAAGAAAACGAAAAGACCACACATGTTTGAAACTCTCGTCCTGCATACACGATCGGCATACGACGGATTCTTCGAAAACTCAAATCCCTTTCGCGAAGGCTTTCGGGGTGCGCGAGGCTCTGAGTCCATCGCTTTCGCGCTTTCGTGGATTGAGAAACGGGTTTGCTCGCTTTCGCGGATGAAAAAATACCGTTTTGCAGGCAGACAGGCCCTTTCGCGGTTCGCGACTGCGAAAATTGTCAACCCCTTGCGCGACCCGTTCACTTTCGCGGCCTGGGAAGAAACAACATTCTGACAACGATATCTCACGACACCTGGGTCTGATATCGTCGCATTAGACAACAATTGGAATCTCCTGTGGTGTCACCCAAGCTTAATGCATTGTTCTAGCAAAACAACGACAAAATCCAAACGTCAAATAATACTAACACGTAGCGCAAGTAATACAATGAGACATGATCCATCAGTAACCTATACCACAAACAACAAACTCCTGAAAATTCCCCGAGATGTTGCCCGCATGGCTCAGCCGAGCGCCCGAGCTCGGCCGGCGCTTGAAAGCGCTGCACGTATCGCTGCCTGGACTCGTGCTCGTCTGCTGGGCGGTTGATGGGCGTCCAGACTGGGACACCCTTGAACAGACCTCAGCTTCGGAACCTTGGAACCCTGACAGCCTGACAGCCCTTGCGCAGCCACGAGATTGGAGCACATTGCGCCAAGGCGCGCATGGCCTGCGTGAAATTCTTTGAATCCATGGTAAACCTTGCGGCAAAGACAGTGAGACAGCCCCTCTCGCATGGGCCCTGGCCAGCAGTGTCTTGCATTGCATCAAGAATCGACATTTAGGCCATCTCGTGAGTGTTAAAGCCAGCGACAAGTGGAGCGCGAGGCAATCAGAGCATCTAACAGCATGTATCCCTCTCTGTCAACCGCTCGCCTGTGGTAGATGCCCTCGGGCAAGGCGATCAGGTCGCCGGCATTTAGCGCAATCCGAATCCAGCGGTCCTGTCGCTGCGGCGTCCACCCTCTGAACCGGTGGTCACAACTCGGTAGCCAGAGTCGCATGGACTGGAATTGTTCTTCTGGGCTACTGCTGATGAGAAGCAATGAAGTTGACTGAGAAGAGCTAGTTGCAGAGCCAGCTTTGATTTGTTTCGCTCCTTTGTTTCCATGTCGCAAAAGTGAAACATGACAGCGGCCCTGTCCTCGCGATCGCGCACATCAAAGTAGCCACTACCATTCAGAATGTACCTCACTTCCTGGCCATGTCCGTTTCTCGTTGAATTGCCCAGTCTGCAGTCTGCCATCCAAATTGACTGGCCTTGCCTCGTCCGAATGGATGTGCTCCTCAAAGAAGGCTTTCAGCTTGTTGTGGTAATCGGGCAAGCACTCCTGCACTTTGGCGCCATGGAAACCGCACCGCAAGCTGTCTTGTCCACCCTTTCCCTCTACTCTTGAAACTGGCCGGCCTCAGAGCAAGTGATGATGTCCGCGTAATTGTAGCCGCGCGCAGCGCGGATCGCTGCCAAATCCGGGTCCTCTCCAGACACTCAGATGGCATTCAAACGGCATTCAAATGGCATCTTTTGCAACAACTGGAGACCGCAAGGAAAAGGCGCCAGTATGCGCCAGTCTCTGCGTGTGCGAACACGTCGCACCACGAAACAGCGCTAGCCGTGAGAGCCGCTAGCTCCAAACCATCGGAATGGCGGAACACAGCAAAACACATGGCGCTTGCAGCTCACCCCGGTATGAGCCCGCCTGCATGCCCTTCGGTTCCCACGGCACAGCTTTGGCTGGATATTCTCCTGGCGGCCCCCCGTTTCAGACTCGCCTTTCAAGCCTTCCCTTTCTGACCATCAGCAAGTCCCATTCTTCCCCAAGTCTGCAGTGGAAGGCGTGTTTAAGCATCGACGCCCGACAGGCAGCGCCTTTGGGCAGGATGTGCCACTGAAGAACCCCAAGGTCTCGCAGCTCATCAGGCGACACCTATCCAGTGCCATTGCATCCCATGCTTTTCAGACTGGCACAGCTGGCAAGCCCAGATGGCGCTTGGCAAATCTTCACAAGCGCCAAATGTCGACGGGATCTAAGATCTCCGCCGGCTGGTTTGGATCCATGCGGTTCTCTGCCGTCTGATCCTTCACCTCGGTCGCCTCAGCGTCATATCGAGCCGACCCATGCCTTCAATGCAACCGAAGACGGTTTCGACCGCCGATTCGGAAAATCCCGCAATCCAAAGCCAGAAATGGCTCTCCGGCAACTGCCTTGATCGCTGAGTCGCCATGTACCATGCTTCAATGGCCGGCATGGCTCTGTTGGAGGGTAAGTTACACGTCAAAGAAGCATCCTCATCATGTGTTCGCGAGCGGAGGCCCGCGTCGTCAGTGTAACCAGGTAACCATGTTGTAAAGGCCGAACATTTTGCGGCACCCAGCTGAGCCGAAACAAGCATGTTCTGATTGACATCGCGACTGAACTTCCCACCCAAAAAAACAGCAGTATGTCCACGTGGTCTCGAGCTGCAATTGAATTCCGTCGGTGTCAGTTTGCAACACAAGCTAACAACCACAATGACCAGACTCCAACACGACGGTGCCAACTGCGGCAAAACATGGCACGTGTAATGCCCCGGTGAGCAAAAGTCCAACCCCCCCCCCCCGCCCCATGCCACGCAGCAAATATCCCTGCTCCAGCTGCTTCCAGTCCGACTGAAGCGAGCCTGGAAAGCCCAGGGCCGGGAAGCAGTCCGATCCCTTCAAAAAAAGGATCTCCCCCCGACAAAAAAAAAGAAGGCAAATTCCGCCCCTCAAAGCCCATCCAACTCCGACCAAAAAACCGGTCAAGTCCCCCTCAAAACCGGTCATCTAGAAAGTGATCAAACCCCCTCTTAAAACAGATCCGGTCCAACTCCCGCCGAATCCGCTAGGAACCAGTCAAAATCTCTTTGTATTTGACGGCTCTCGGCGCATTGGTTCCGGAGCTTCCGCGGCATGGTTTTCAGCAAAAGAACATCGCCGGGGGTCAGTCAGTGATATGGTCATCATCATAGTACTGACATAGTTGTTTTTTACCATCCAATCGCCCTGCCGTCAATCCTGCGCTGGCCACAGGATTGCCCCCGTCAATCCTGCGCTGGCCACAAGATTGTTTCCGTCAATCCTGCGCTGGCCACAGGATTGCCCCGATGCAGCACCAGCTGCTCGGGAACTGTTTTTGCCCGGCCTCAGGGTCATGATGGAGTCGGCCCTGCTGTAAAGCTCCCGGGCCTCCGGCACATCGCTCACGACGAAGGGCAGGCCGCTTGCGAAGAGCGCGACTCGGAGCTCCAAGTGGAAGGCCAGGCAATGACATGCTCGGCTGGCTGCCTTGTCACCCCGAAGGGCTCGTAGCGCAAAGGATAGCTAGGTTTCTCTGAGCAGCGCCTGGACCGGGCTCAATTCCAAACTCGTCTGCAAATGTCACAGAAACGATGACATGTGTCACAGAAACGATGAATGTGTCACAGAAACGATGACATGTGTCACAGAAACGATGACATCTCGGAATCGATGACTTCTCGCAGAATCGACGACGCGTGCCGCAGAAACGATGTCATGTGTCGCAGAAACGAGTAAATGTGACAGTGTCACAAAAACGATGACATGTCACAGAAACACTGACATGCTCGGCTGGATGCCTTGTCACCCCAAAGGGCCCGGCTTCTCTAGCAGCTCCCTGGACTGGGCTCGATTCCAGGATGATAGGAACCCTGGCCGAGGATGCGAGGACCTCAGTCGAGGAACCCTGGCTGCGAGGACCTTCGTTTACATCTTCCCGGTTACGGCGCGAAGGGACAGGGCCACTTGAAGGACTGTGCTTGGCTACGGTTCTGGTGCGCGGAAGAGACGACCCACGGTGGATCGTCTTGTCTCACTTGGTGCGCCGCCTGGTCTGTTGCAGATCAATGATGATGCCACACTGTCCACCTTGCGACCGGCTTGCGCAGCTCAAGTAAGTTCCAGCGCTGCGCCTCCTGCGGCGGAGCGTAAACGGAAGTTCCGCTGGAACACCCAGGTCGGCTTAAGCTACGACCGCAAGAGAGGCTCAGGCGACAGCAAGGGACTTCCTCTGCTGGGGCCAAGCTGCATGGTTGTCACAACTGCTCTTTGACCCATGGAGCAAAGGGCAAAGACACAGGCATCACCTGCGCTGTCAATGCTCACAGCGAGATTGGCACATCTGGGATGCGCATATGCAATGCCGACAAAAAAATTGGGAACAACCACGGGTATGCCAACCAAGTCAAACTTCTCAAATAACACCGCCCAACTGCCATGCGGTTTCAAGACGCGCCAGCGGAATCGGATCGATGTCCTTGAGGGAGCAGCTGGAGTTGCAGGTGGCGCGCTGCGTGATACAGGAGCAGCAGGTCTCCGTAGTTGGCAGCCACCGTGGCCAGCGTGGCGTTGTTCGCCGAAGCGATGGAGCTCTGAGACACCTGCTTTTCAGCCCCACAAAGGTCTAATGCCCGGTTCGCAGACTGGGGAGTCCAACAACTGTCTGGGCGAAGCGTTGGATGAAAGCAAACTTGTTTACCGCTGTCCATACGTAGATGGGCCATTTTGTGGCCAACTAAGACTGCAACAAACAACCCTGGAATTGCACACCTTGAACTTATGCTTTATTTTCTGTTAAGCTTAAGCATGGACAGCCTAGGCTGGTATCTTCAGCCAAGCAGGTGGTTATCAGACGTTAGAACAGAACCCCGCGGATCTTTAATGCCTTGGAATTGGCCAGAGCAGCAGAAAGCCTGCAACCTTTCCAACGCAACTCCGCGGTGATGTCGAATCCAGGAATGCATTTGGCTGCAAAAAGCAGTTCAAAGGATACAAATATACACATATACGTTCCGCACTCTGCGGGAAACAGTCCCGCAGTGGTTCTGGGAGAGATGTTCAGCGCAGGATTGACGGGGGCAATCCTGTGGCCAGCGCAGGATTGACAGGGGCAATCCTGTAACCAGCGCAGGATTGAGTGAAGGTGAAACTACTGCCTGTTCGATGGACATTTCTGTGCGGACGACCCCACGCCCGCTGCGAAGCAAGCCGATCATGGCATGCAAGGCGGGCGCCGATGCTTGTGCCGAAGGCACCAAAGTCGGAATCGGCGGCTGGTTTATATCCAGCCGCCCCGTCTCATGGTTCGCAGAAACGTGGGACTTCCAAGAAGTCCAGGAGCAAGGAGGCCCAACGCTACATAGCGTGCTTCGAAACCTTGGCCCAGCTCGCGCTCATGCGAGTCGCGTGGACCGCAGAGGGCCAAGCAGTGCACGGCATGCGCATGCCTTCCGGCACAGACAATACCGCAGCAGAAGCAGAAGCCGGGGTGAACAAGCTGTTCACCACAGCATGGCCTTTGCCGCATGGGCCTACAAGCGCAAATGGTCAGTGCTAGCCTCGCATATTCCAGGCGAGCGCAACGTGTGGGCTGATCAACTCAGCCGCGGAAACACGTCCGCATTCGACAGCAAGCCGCAAGCTCGCGTTCGTTTTAGCCCACATGATTTCTGGCCCCGCAAATCCATGCTGTCCTTGCATCCGCCCGACGCCCCATGGCGGCCGGAGCATAAGAGTGCTTCGCAAACGCTCTGAAGAGGGGGCGATAGATTAGGCCGTTTGCTTGGAACCCTGAAGTGGGGGCATTTGAGAAGGCTGGACACGCGCTGTCTTTCCCTATAAAGAAAAAGAGCATGCGCACAGGTTTGTCGGTCGTGCTCTTGTTTCTTTTGCTGCATGTTCCCTTCGGATTGAAGCAGTGATCAAGATTCTAACCCCTTTGTCCTGCCCCGCCATGTACCCATCATGATGCGCATGAAGTTAGATCCCCGGGCCACCCCCCATCCCCGGCCATCGCCAGTGATATGGTTCTCGTCATATCACTAACATATAGGCAGCATTGGCATAAAGGCATTGCTGTTGGCAAACTCAATGTTGCGCACGCAGAAGGGAAAGAACCTCGCCTGGTTCTAGATAGCACCGTGTGCGGGGTGAACCCCAAACGCAATATCCCAGAACGCATGAGCCTGCCGATGGCATCCGATGTGCGCCTGGCATTTATGCCAGAAGACACGCATGCGTCTTTTATAGGAGCTAGTTTTGATTTTAAAGCCGCACACAAGCAAGTTCAGGTACACCCTAGCGAACATGGCTTGCTCCTGTTTCGCTTCGCAGACAACCTGTACCATTATCGGGTGCGCCGCTCCGGAGCCCGGTTCTCCGCATACTGGTGGCAACGCACAGGAGCTTTCTTGCTCCGACTGCTACACGGCATCCTGTCAGCATACCCGCATAGAGCTTGGTTGTTTGTCGATGACCTTTTGGCCGCGCTGCATCGCCCAGACGCGCACCAACAACTGGCACTGGTTGTCATCTTCTTCGCAGCCATCAGTGCGCCCATTTCCTGGAAGAAAGCGCAGTTCCAAAACTGCCTGACTTGGTGCGGGTGGTCAATAAACTTCAGCCTGGAAACTATTGAACTCACCCCGCTTAAAACCCTGAAAGCTAAAAGAGCAGCTGCTCGCATTGCTCCGATCCAAAAGAATCAGAAGAAAGCTTTTGGAGCAAGTCCTGGGGCTGCTCATCTGGGCCACCAGCCTAAGTCTGGAATTAAGATCATGGCTTGCGCCCTTATACGCAGATCTACATTCGCCGCCGGGCTGCATGATCTCAGTGAACGCACGCCTGTGGCCTGCATTCCTTTCAGCGCTGAACGCCAAAGCCATACTGGCCTCGCCCGTACACAGCATCTTTATGCCGCTGGGCTCCAGGGTATTAGAGTACCAGCCAATCCCAGCACGCAGCCCCTCCGACTTGCCTCGCGTCGCGCCCAGTCACAAGCCTGCGTGGGTGCGCATGCCGACCCCGCTGCCGAGCACACTCGCTTGTCCGCGGCAAGCAGGACGAATATCGAGTATGTTTTCAGGCTGACTTGGAGTTCATGAGGTATGTCTGCGTGCTCCTTGGGCGGCCACTGCACGCTGCGGGGCAATTCGGACAGGGCTCCTGTGGGCACACCCTCGGAGAGCAGTGTTTGATGTCCGGGTCATTCGACGCGGTTGCCAGTGCATGCAAGAGTGACAGCCGGTACGGCTGGCCGTTGTCGGGAGCCAGACTGGCTGGGGCGGGCTTGTCCACCGCCCTACAGGATTAATTTTGTTGTTGCCCGCTGCAACCAAGCGTGCGCTACTATCCCCAGCGCTGGGGTACAGAATGATCTGCTGCGGAGCGCACGCCTGCTCCATCACAGACTTTGAGTCTGTTATAGGGTACGGATGCAAGGTTTTTTAAGCTCGCGCACCAGCGGGTCACGTCGAACTTTGAATGCACAATGCGTGACCAGGCTTGCGGCCAGGGTTCCGGGGTATTCCGCGGTCAATGTGCTGAGGAATTGG